TGAAGGGACTGAGGTTCAGAGAGGCTGGGATTTTGCCCACAGCGAGGAAGTGGTAGAGCTGGGAGTCACATCGGGCTAGGTCTAGAACATTTGCTCTGGGCCACTCTGCACAGCCGTCCATAAATAGTCTGCTATTTCTGTGGCGAACAAAATGTCTGCCTGACATGGGGACATCTGCCAGGGGAGGCAAAGCTGTTTATCCTGAAGGCGGCCATGAGGATTTGAAGTGACACATTCTTTCTCTGAAACCATCTGGGCACATCACAGACCACCCCAGACTTGGTGGCACAAAACAGCCACCATTTAGTGACACTCAAAGAGTCCATGGGGAAGGGCCAGGCAGGGCTTCTCTGCTCCACGCTGTCTAGGGCTCAGCTGGGGAGGCGCAGGGTGGTGGGTGCTCTGGTCTCCCAGAGACTTGTCCACACTGGGGCCAGCTTCTCCCAGCAGGTGCTGGGAGCTAAGAGGAGGCAGTGTGCAGGAGGCAGGGGCAGCCCCAGGTGGAAACCAAAACTGTCTGGCTGCAGGACAGTTTTGCAGGAAAGAACTGGCTTGGTCTCCTGCTGGGTAAGTGGGGAGGTGGCTGCGGAAGGGCCCGGGTGGAGACGTCTGTGCAGCCGAGAGCGCGCCAGTTTCCTGTGCTGTGTCCTTCACTGGCCTCTGGGGTCGGCTCCATGGGGCCACAGGACCCCCTCCCAGAGACGTGCAGAGGGGCTTTTTCAGCGGACTTGAAGTCGCACTGGCCCTGTCCAACCACCGGTTAAATGATCCTGGAGGCATCCATCCCCTCCCCTCCCCTCCCCTCCCCTCCCCTCCCCTCCCCTCCCCTGGCCCCAGCCCTGCACGGCAGCTGGTGTCAGAGATCAGGACTCTGCTCCCCAGGCGTCTACTGTCCCGGCAGCAAGAGCCACTCCCTGCCGGGAACCTGAAGTCAACTGGCTGGACACAATCCCCACGGTGACCCCATCCTCCGCCACCAGCCCCAGCAAGTAGAGAGACAGAGGGATGGTGCTGGAGGGGCTAGGGGTGGGTGCCAACCTGCCCCATACCCAGAGGTGGCACTCCTTCCACGAACTTGGCACCCCTTGTCAGCATGTGCCCTGGGCCAGCCTCGGTGGGGAAAGTGCTCCTTCCAGGTAGGGGTTGGCTCGCTGTCCCTTCAATGGCCCAACAAGTGTTCTAGGCCGTGCAGCCGGAGGGTCTTTCCTGGCTCTGAGTTGGCAGTGAGTGCCACATTCGGCCCCAACTTAAAGTCTCCCATAAACCTGGAGCCACGGGTCCTTCCCGAGTTTGGCGGCACTGTAGGCATCAGCCCAGCAGATGGCGCTAGGCCACTGCCCACAGCATGGCGGGAGGCCTGGCGGGGACAAGGACGGGGAGGAGCTGATGGGGACCCTGCTGGAGTGCGGGGACAGGGACTTGGAGGCTGATGGGGACCCGGCTGGACCTCACGTGCCAGGGTAGCCTGTGGCAAACCCCCAGCACATGGAGGTCCTGGGGCGACCGAGCCGTGGCCAGGCCACAGGTGCAGGAGGGTGCAGAACTCGGAGTGGGTAAGGGGCCAGAGCAGCCGCCGCCGGGGAGGAACGCGCTGTCTGGAGAAGCCACTTGAGCTGTGCACGCGCGGACTGGGTCACGAGGTGGAAACCCATCTCACGGTGGCCACAGCAAGAGAGCACTGGGCCAGAGGAGTCACAGGTCACCAACAGGGGGTCGGCTTTGCGTGTGGAGGAGGGGGAGGCGGGAGCAGTCAGATGCCCCCACCACCGGGGACAGGGGCAGCAGGAGACCGGAGGTGCTTCCCAGAGATGGGGCATTCGAGCTGGGTCCGGAAGGGCAAGTGGGAGCTTGGAAGGTAGAGGAGGGGCACAGAGAGAAAAAAGGCCCCTGTAGAGGGGTGCTCCCTCCCTAACACCCGGCTTCACAGGGAGTTACGGGAGGCTGGCGGGTTCTGGGGGATCAGCCAGGGAAGGGCAACCCCAACTGTCAGAACAAAGACCAGAACCCAAACCCGGGACACAGGCGCTTCCATGGGTGCAGAGCTGGCAGATCTCCAGACAGACAGGACTCGCCCTTTAATCCAAAGCACGTGAAGTGCTTCCCTGACCAGGACACCTCTGTTGAAGTAAAATAATAAACAAGTCCGCACTGAAATGCTTGTTCTCCTGGGAAAGGGCAACCAGGGCTCCCTCTCACTGTCCCTTCATTGTCCCCTTACACCAACTGCTATCCCAACCTTGGAAGCAATGGGCAGCAGGCAGCAGGCTCAGCCTAGGAAGCTGCCCTCATGGCTGGAGTGGCCAACCCCACCAGGGCCGGCAGGGGCTGGCGAGAGAGCGTGGGATCACCAACACAGCCAGGTATGAGGGGTGGCTGCACCCTTGGGAACTAACTCAGGACACAGAGCCCTCCTGCAGGGGGAACACGTGACCGGGGGCCCAGCCTGAGGTACTGGTGAGTGAGGGTCCCCGCTTTCCTGGAGATTCTGATACAGGAACAGGTTCAGGCCACTCCAGCATGTGTCCAAATCTAGCTTTTTTTTTTTTTTTTTTTTTTGGTCATATTGAAAACATAAAATCAGAAAGTACAGAAATATTAAAAAGAAAGCAAAATGTATTAATTTCTCTAATCCCACCACAGACACATAATCTCTGCTAACATTTATCTGCTTCCAGGACTTCACCCAGAAACGGACACTGGAGAATATGTTTGTGCTGACAAGGGGATCACACCAGACATGACTTTGTGAACCACTTTTGACTCAGCCTGGAGGGCCATCTTCTGGGCTCAGTTGGCAGTGGGTTCACCTGACCCTGAGGTTAGCAGCAGAAGCTTCAAGGCCTATGCCTAATTTTTTATTTGTAATTTTGTATTCTTTTCTTAAGGAAGGTCCCTCAAGCCACAGAGCCTCAGGCCCCACACAACCTGCGTCCACCCCTGCTGTATGACGCTCCAGGGTCCAGGTACAGCCAGGGCCAGCCACAGCCTCACTAGCTGGCTGCTCCCTTCCAGGTCTCCTCATTAGCAGCTCGTGCTGACAGCCACGCCCACCAAGGGAACTCCTTGGCCTTTGGCTTGGGGCGATGCTGACCCACTGGAGGGAGTTCTGGCCCAGCAGTCCCGGGACATCTCCTGTATGAAGATCATGTCTGCCGTGAAACTTGCCACCCTTTCCGGTCAATTGCCCCTTGGCCTGTCCCTGTCACAAGACGGCAGGTGCCTCGAGGGTGGGGACTCTGTTGTCCCTGGGTCCTGGGACCCAGAGCAGGGCAGCAGTGTGGGTGGTTGCCCGGCTCGCAAGCGCAGACACACATGCCATGCTTCTCTGGACGGCTGCACAGAGGGAGGCAGGGCTATCTAATCCAGAGTTGGAGCCAGGGGACTGCATGGCAGGGAGGGCGAGGGAAACCCACAGCCAGGAGGGGGCTGTGGCTCTGCTGCTCCCGTGGCACAGCCACCAAATGGACCAGGTGTGAACCATGACCTACGGACACGCGACCACCCTCACCAGCATAACAGCAGCCCAGAGTGACAGGTGACCACCTGGTTTACACACCATCCTCTTCCTGGCCACGGGTGCTATCTCCCGGTGCCGGTGGCCCAGCAGGAGCTGCATGGGAGGGGAGAATTCTCTCTGGTTTGTTTCTAGTGGTCTTTAAAACAGAAAACAAAAAACGAAGGCAGGCATCAAGATGCTTTTTCTTATCTCAATGTTTTTATTTTTAAAATTTTTGCTGTATTTATTTTTGTGGAGACCATGTTGCCAGCCATGCCGCTCAGGCTAGTCTGGAACTCCTGGGCACAAGAGATCCCGAGGCTGGAATGGCAGGTGTGAGCAGCACACCAGGCCTTACCTCAACGGCTAAACGTGTGGATCGACCTCACATCTGCGGAGGGAGAGAAGTGAACCAGCAACGGGGTTATCGAGAAAGAAAGAAGACCTATTTATTGATTTTAATTTTTTTTATAGAGACTATGTTTGCCCAGGCTGGTCTCAAACTTCTGGACGCAAGTGATGCCCCCGCCTTGGCCTCCCCAAGCAGTGAACCTTCTCCCGACACCTGTTTCTTCTGGAATATCTGCCTCCAGCCATCGATAAAGAAATGGGTTCTTGGCCTTTTTGCTGTGCTACCTCCTGGTGGCCTTTGCTCGTCCAGATGCCCGGGTAAAGGCGGCGCTCTCCCCCCGCGGCGGGGACGTGGGCCCCGGAGCCAGCTTGCCGGCTGGGAGGCCTGCAGCCAATGACGGGCCTGATGGGCAGGGGGGCCCAGCTCCTTGTTCCAGTGCCACGAATCTGAGGGGCCACCCACTTTCTGGTCGCCTTGTGAGCTGCTGACCCGGCCTTCCCTTTCCCCCTCCCACCCAGCAGCGCTCCCCAGTACACTCCTTGCTGGGAAACCCCCAGGACAGCCGCCGGCCTGTCCGGACCGGGCGCAGTGACACCATCGCAGGTGTCCTTCTTTCACTGGGGAGCCCTGGGGCGGCTGCGAGGCCTGCTCGCTCTCTGGGGCTGTCCCCCACTCCGGCTGCCGATGTCGCCGACGGCCCTCTGGGCCTCGCCGCTACTCGCCCGCTCCCTGTCGCCCCGGTCCGCGCGGCGTCGGCCGCCCCCACCCCTCCCCGCCCTCCCGGAGCCTCCCGGGGCGCCCCCATTCCCGCCGCTGCCCAGTCCTCCCAGCCCCAGGCCGGAGGAGCGCAGGGCGCTTCCGGACACGGCCCTGCGCGGACCAGACCCGCTCCCGGGCCCTGGGCTGCCCAGCACCACCTACAAGGCGGCTTCCCCGGCGGCCCGGCCCCACCCCAGAGCCGGGCAGCAGTGCGCCGGGTCGCAGACACCGGGTCGCAGACACCGGAGGCGGGGGCCGGGACCAGGGTCAAGCCGTCTCGTGGAACCAGACGACTCCGCGAGAGCGCGCGTGCGCACTGGGCTGCCTCGGAGTGCGGCGGCGCGTGCGCAGAGGCGCTGCCCAGGACCGGGACGCGCAGGCCAGCTATCTGCGCCTGCGCAGGATCACGCGCGGCGCCGACGCCGGCGAGGAGGCTACGGACAGCTCGCGGTGTGTGCGCGCACGCACGGGCGCACGCCTCGGGAAGCATCGAGTCCCGGACGCCCAGCGCGGCCCGGAGCAGGGGGAAGGGAGGCGCGGCTCGGGCGGCGCGGGCGGAGGGGGCGTGAGGCCGCCCTACGGTGGCCGTCGAGGGAAGAAGTTACGGCGCCCACGCTGGGCCAAACGCCCCCGGCGGCCGCGCCGCAGCGCGCCTTCCTCCGCCGGGCGACCCCAGCCCGGGACGCGTGAGCCACCCCCGCAGCCGCCCCGCCGGCCCCCCAGCTGCGCGCCCCGGCACCATGCGGCCGCCCTGCGCACGGAGCCCCGGGGGACAGGGGCGCCCGCAGGCCCGGCCTCCAGCACCGCCGGCCGGCCCCGAAGTCCGGGACGCCGGCGCCGCCGCGGAGAGGGCACCGGGTGAGCGGCGGGCGGGAACCCGGCCTTGGCGGGGCCGTCTCCGGGGCGACGCGCGGCGCGGGACCCGGAAGTGGCTCCGGCAGGGGCTCTGCGGCCGCGGGGCCAGACGCGGCGCGGGCCCGGTGCTCACGAGGAATGGGCCGAGCGCGGGGCCCCTAGGAAACGGTCCTGGCCCGGCCGCGGGCCTGGCGGGCGTCCGCGGAAAGACGGGGACCCGCGCGGAGCTGCGGACCGCGAGAGCCGGCGGGGACACAGCCCCGCCGAGCCGTGTTTGAGGGGCGCCGCCATGGCTGGGGCTCTGGCCCCGGCGCCGCGTGAAGGAACCGGGCCCTGCGGCGCGGGAGGGTCGGGCGGCCCCGGCCCCTCCCACCTCCGCCCGGCCGGGTCCCCGCGGCGGAGCCCCAGGCTGAACCCGCCTGACGGCCGGCCCGGCTCTTGGCTACAGTCCCCTGCTCCGTGACCAGCTTTCCTTCGGTTTGATACCCCCTGACCTTTGAGTGCATTCCGCTCCGCGGATTACTTAGGCGAGCTCTAAACGGCATTTCCTAGGTGAAGCTAGAGCCAGATGCCACGTGCGCTCTTTGCAGCCGGGTCTGTGGGGCCGCCGCGCAGCCCCTTCCCTCCTACAGGACAAACAGGAGCCGTCTTGGGGTCTTGTGACCTGCCCAAGGTCAAAAGGCCAAGAACCCAAGGGAAGGACAGTGCCGGGGTTCAGGCCCGGCAGGGTGACCCCGGGGCCCCCCAGCCGTCCATTCGGCCCCCGGCACTTGTCAGGCTGCTGGAGGCAGCTGCCCCGCGGGCTCGTTCTCAGTTTACCTGTCTCTCTTCCTGGCCCCGTGGTGGCTTCTTGCAGGTGCCATTCAAGGGCCAATGTCAGCCCTGGGTCAGGCAGCCGCGGAAGGCCAGGGCGGTAACGGGCAAATGCATAAGGGCAGAAGGCGTTCCAGCGAGTGGGGGGCTGCGAGGATCTTGTGGGAAAGAGCCACGCCGGCCCCTTCTCGTCCATTTTGGCATTGATCGCCGCCGCCCCCACCACCGCCCTGAAGGCCTAGAGCAAACACTTTGGCATTCGCAGGTGGCGGGCCCCTTGGAAGCATCCTTGGGAGGGTTTGAGAAACGAGTAAGCCCAGGAGTGCCCGCAGATCCCGCCCTGGACTCCGTTTTCCCTAAGTCCAGGCACTGGAGTTTGTGTCTGCTTTCACCCGCTGATGCCTGAGGAGGGGTCCACATGGCATCCTCACACTGACCAGGGTTTCGTGGTTCTCCCCACAGGCCGACGCCTCCCCTGAGGCTCAGCTGCGGGCTCCCAGGCCTAGGCGCCCATGACCCCTACGCTGACCGCGCCTGGACGCCACCGCCGGGGCCCAATGCCGGTCATGCCCATCCCGCGGCGGGTGCGCTCCTTCCACGGCCCGCATACCACCTGCCTGCATGCGGCCTGCGGGCCCGTGCGCGCCTCTCACCTGGCCCGCACCAAGTACAACAACTTCGACGTGTACATCAAGACGCGCTGGCTGTACGGCTTCATCCGCTTCCTGCTCTACTTCAGCTGCAGTCTGTTCACCGCAGCGCTCTGGGGCGCGCTGGCTGCGCTCTTCTGCCTGCAGTACCTGGGCGTGCGCGTCCTGCTGCGCTTCCAGCGCAAGCTGTCGGTGCTGCTGCTGCTGCTGGGCCGCCGGCGTGTGGACTTCCGCCTGGTGAACGAGCTGCTCATCTACGGCATCCACGTCACCATGCTGCTGGTGGGGGGCCTCGGCTGGTGCTTCATGGTCTTCGTGGACATGTGAGGGCCGTGGGCGCGAGCTGGATTCATTGTCCTGGCCTGTGGCTGTGTTTTCTCCAAGGGTGGGGTTGGCCAGCACCTTCCCTTCTGCCCATCCCGCAGGCAGGCACCGCTGCCTGGGTGCCCGCGGAGAGAAAAGAAAGGGCTGAGACTTAACGTGGTGGGGGTGCGGGTGCTGCCCCTAGGCTGGCTAACTGCACCCACCCTCCTCTCGTGCACTCAGGGGCGGCGCCCACCTCCCGGTGGCTCCTGCTCACACGTCTTCAGGTTGTACTTCGGAGTAGGCCTCTCTCCAGGACCACACCTGCCAGGGACTTTAGACATCACCCTGGGAGACCCCTGGACACAGAGGACTGTGTGCCCAAGAGCAAATCCTGAGGGCCTCCCTCACTGACACACCACACACTGCCACAAAGCTGCTCACTCTGCCAGGGGCCATCTGAGGCCTGGCACTGCCCTCTGTCACCCTGAAGGGCTGTGGGTCCTGAGTCCCAGGCCAGCCTTCAGAGTCTCCTTGGTTGTGTAGATGCAGTCTAGCAGGGGCCTCCGCAGGTTCCCAGCTCGGGGGCTAGCCTGGGGGAACCCTGAGAGCCAGGGGACCGACTCCAGCAACACTGGCCTGTCTGCCTGTTCCGAGAGGGCTGTCAAAATGTCCCGTAGAATCTGTGGATTTCTGGGGAGGCATCTCCATTCCTTTCTGGCTTTTCTTGCCGGGAGTGGGGGATTGGGCCTCTTTATTTGAGGGAACACCCTCAAAGGAAGCCTGGGAGATGGAGGCTGCAGTGAGCTGGGATGGAGACTTTGTCCTGAGTGTCTGGAGCAGGGAGCGGAGGCTTCAGTGCGGCAACCACTGACCTGGAGCCTGTGTGGCACCAGCAGCCTCTTGCAGCCCCGGGCATATGCCAAGGTTCTACCCACGCCGTCCTCCAGTGACTGGGGGCTCTGGATGACAGCACAGGGGCAGGGGGCTGGAGGGGCGCAGGTGCCTGTGTTCAGGGAGGGTGGCCACCGTGGGCCAGGCTCTCACCTAGGGCAGCATGCTCTGTTCCTCAGCCTTGCAGCCACTGCACCACTATGGCAACTGCCCACAGCTGTGTGACTTTGGGGGCAGATGGGAGGGCGGCCTGAATGATGATTGCAGGGACGACGGCAGAGGCCGCCCTGGAGCAGGACACAGGTTGGCAGCGCTCAGATGGTGACCCTAGCTTCACACCAGTCCATGTCCCCACATCCGGGCATGGGTGGACCCTGCCAGGCGGACCAGTGGCCCAGGAGCCGTGAGGACAGTTGTGTGCCGCCGGAAGAAAAACTTTTGGAGAAACCCTAAATCAGGTAGAGAAAGCAAAAAAATACTTGGCCATAAACCGTGCTCTCTGATTTGTTGGCAGCTTCTGTGGATGACCTCCGAGGAGCCCCGCGGCGTCCAGACCCCGGGCAGGTGGGCGGGGAGCTTCCTTGCGGGGGTCTCATTTCTTGCTGCAGAGAATCTTTTGCACTAAGTCACGCTATTTCCTCAAAGAAGCTTTGTTTTTTGTTAACGTGTTACTCAGAGTCGCCCAAGCCCCTTGGCAGAGGGAGAAGGAGTGGCGGGAGGGGCTGGCGGTGCTGCTCACTGGGTGTCAGCACCGCAGGGAGGGGCAGCACCCTGGTGCGCTCTGAGCACCTGGCTGCCTGCTGTCCCCAGTGCCTGTGAATTCGTCATGAGATGAACCACCTGCATTAAACCTATTTTTTTAACATGTTGATGGAGTGATTGCTTAAAGCTCAACTTTTTAATTCCGTTTTTAAGGACATAGTAATCAGCTAGAGCACCATCAAAACCATATTGTCCTACAAGTGGAAAAGTTTTCACAAACTGCTGGGATACAGGGATGCTTGGTAAGGAACCCCTGAGGCTAGGGTTCTTCTTGTGGGAAGCTGCCCTGGGGAGGTGGCCTAGCTGACGAGCAAGGATTTGTCATCATGGTAGTCCCCAGGACACTGCTGTGCAGGCCGGTGGAAATTGCTTTCAGCTGACTGGGCAGTTGAGAGTCTTTGGAGATTTGCTTTTGTCGCCCGGGCTGGAGTGCAATGACATGATCTTGGCTCACCACAACCTCCGCCTCCCGGGTTCAAGCGATTCTCACACCCCAGCCTCCTGAGTAGTTGGAATTATAGCCCCCTGCCACCAAGCCCAGCTAGTTTTTGTATTTTTATTAGAGATGGAATTTTACCGTGTTGCCCAGGCTGGTCTCAAACTCCTGACCTCAGGTGATCTACCTGCCAAGGCCTCCCAAAGTGCTGGGATTCCAGGTGTGAGCCACCCGGCCTACCTAGTTCAGTCTTGGATTAAAGCTGGAGTGGTGTTTCCCATGCTGTTGAAAGGAAAGAAGCCTCGGGGCTGTGAGTGAGCCCTGCTGATGGACCTCAAGGGAAGGTGAACGTGCATAAAAAAAAAGTTTAGAAGAAGAAGAAAACCAAAGTTCTTACCTAAAAACCTGTTTGAGGCCAGGTGCAGTGGCTCACACCTGCAATCCCTGCACTTTGGGAAGCCAAGGCAGGAGGGTTACATGAGCCCAGGAGTTCAAGACCAGCCTGGACAACATAGTGAGACCCCACCTCTACAAAAAATTGGCTGGCTGTGGTAGTGGGTCCCTAGGAGGTCAAGGCTGCGGGGAGCCGTGACTGTACCGCTGCACTGGATGACAGAGTCAGACTCTCTCAAAAAAAAAAAAAAACATAGTTTGAAGATTGAGAGACATGCTCTTCTTCAGTCTTTGCTTCGTAAAGGCTTCCTTAGCTTCAGTGAAAGGAGGAAGTTCACGTTTCTCATTTTTTCACTGGCAGAGGCTTCTAACAACATGAAGATGACAACAGTTTCCCCCCCAGGCAGTCATTATGGCCAGAAAGTGCCACTTAAGGGGAAACCAGCTGGGTACAGTGGCTCACACCTGCAATTCCAACACTGGGAGGCCAAGGTGGGAGGATCACTTGAGCCCTGGAGTTCCAGATCAGCCTGGGCAGCAGAGAGGGCGACTCCGTCTCTACAAAAAATATTTTAAAGTTAGGTGTAGTGTGTTCACCTCTAATTCCAGCTACTTGCTTGGGAGGCCGAGGTGGGACGAGGTGGAGGCTACAGTGAGCCATGATTTTGACACTGCTCTCCAGCCTAGGTGACAGCAAGACCCCATCTCAAGAAAATAAAGGAAAACTATCCATAAACTGTTTCACTAAACTAAATTTTTGGGGTTTCATTTTTGATGGCAGAGTTTGTGAAATCCTTACCAGAACTTTGCCCCAAAAAGCTTAGGAGGGTGACATTTGTTTCACCAAACCCAGGGCTAAGGCTTGATGTGGGGCACTGCTTCACAGACCAGGCTTCTGATCTGAGGGTCTGGGGCTCTGTGTGCCCTACAGGGGATGCCGGGCCGCAGCCGAGCCCCGAGGTGGGCGCAGGGCCAGATACACAGCAATAGCTGTGCGCATGAAGCTGGGGCAGTTAGCAAACGGGCCGCTGAGACTCGGCCAGGGACAGCAGCCGGCACATGGCTTTGCCGGGTGGGTGTGGGTGAAGGTGGCTCGGCCCTTGATGGCGGTCACACCTGGCCACACACCACACCTGAGAGGCTGTGCGGGGCTCCTGCCTTCCCCGGGGCTTCCTTGGCCCTCCCCACCCGGCTTCACTCTGGTTTTCAGTGGATTTGGCATGTTTTCAGATGTTCCCTGCCTGGGCCATCCCCATCTGACAGAACTCCCGTGACCGTGGCAACACCTCATCTGCACTGCCTCATACAGGAGCCACCAGCCCACGGGGCCACTGAGCATGTAGACAGGCGCCACTGTGACCACGGAATGTCTCATCAGACCCAAGGAAACAGTTCCTACAGAAGGAGCCACTCATGGCTAGATTATAACAAGAGCATTTTTTTTTCTTTTTTTTTCAGAGATGGGGCCTTGCTCCATTGCCCAGGCTGCAGTGGCATGATCACAGCTCATTGCAGCCTCCACCTCCTGGGCTCAGGCTGTTCCCCTGAGCAGGGGCATGTCACAGGCTCCAAGAGCCAAGGAGCTTCCCCGTGGCCACGATGCGCGGCCTTGTGGGAGCCCCGCTGAGCCGGCTCCTCTGGGGGCTGAGGAGCCCTGTGGGGGATCTCTAAGTGGGGCAGAGCTGCTTACCACCGCTCCCCAGCAGACCTGCCATCCTCAGGCTGTGTTAACCAGGCGTTTCCCCTGTTTTATTTTTTTGAGACGGAGTCTTGCTCTGTCACCAGGCTGGAGTGCAGTGGCACGATCTCGGCTCACTGCAACCTCCACGCCCTGGGTTCAAGCGATTCTCCTACCTCAGCCTCCTGAGTAGCTGAGATTACAGGCGCCCACGACCGCGCCCGACTAATTTTTGTATTTTTAGTAAAGACGGGATTTCCCTGTGTTGGTTAGGATGGTCTCGATTTCTTGACCGCATGATCTGCCCGCCTCAGTCTCCCAAAGTGCTTGGGTTACAGGCGTGCACCACCGCACCCGGCCCGCCCTGTTTGACAGGTTCCGTTTTCAAAGTTGTTCTCCCCTTGAGGCCCCACATGACAGGCTGAGCTGTGCCGGGGCTCCTCGGAGGTTGTCCCCTGACCCTTTGTCCTCAGTGACAGACACGCAGACCAGACCATGCTGCAGTGACTGGTAAGGGCAAGCCCAGAGAGGGATCTCCAGGGCCGCCCATGGTGCTGCATGTCCGGGGCTGTCTGTCCTGCGCAGCCTGGATCCTCCTAGCAGCTGGGTGGGAAGACACGCCAGGACCACTGCCTGGGGACCAGGGCATTCCACGGAATCGTCGCATTTAGAGCAGCCTGGTTTGCTCATGATGGGCTCTATGTGTCTGAAAGCATGCGAGTGATCTGCACGCCTGGAGGCTTCCAGGGGCGTCCAGCTGTGGTGAGGAGTCAAGGACTGGGATGGTGTTGAGAGGGAACCAGGCCTGAGCACGCGGCTGCCGCTGCCTCCTGCAGAGGTCTCAGGCGGTGCGCAGCCGCTTTGCAGGGAGCTGGGAGCTGGATAGGAGACAGGATCCATGCTTACGAGGCAGTCCACTCAGCTGTTCCCTTCCCGCTGCAAGTGGACCAGGTTGTGAGGGAGAGAAGTGGCCTGGACACTCAGGGTGGCAGCTGGACCTGAGCGAGCTGGGAAGGACAGGTGTGGGCAGGGAGGGCCACTGGCTGCTCCTGGGGACGTGGGAAGTGGAGGTAGCTGCAGACCGGCCTGGAGATCAGGAGCATGCTGGGAAGGTTCTGGAATCAGAGCTGCCCAGCACAGGCTGGATGAGAGGCCCCAGTAATAGCACTGGATAGCAGTGGATTTGGGAGTCATGGCTTTGGGAGAGGAGCCTGGCACCAGAGCTCCCTGTTCGTTCTGGAGGATGGGAGAGGGTGGGCAGCCCTGGTCCAATCCCCTGGACCACAGAGAAGGCCTCTCCGCTAAGGCAGGGGTGAAGCTGAGGGGAAGCAGGGTGGGCTGGGGTGGGAGAAGTGAAGAGTCAGAGCGTTCCTAGGGAGGGCAGCCCCTGGGCAGAGATGGGTGGGAGGGAGGCCTGGAGGTGCAGAGCGGCTCCGTATCAGGCTGAGCAGAGTGCAGAGTCAGGAAGTCACAGCCAGGCACGGGGTGTGGAAGAAGCCACCATAGCCAGCCCAGGGCTGCTGACCTAGTGGGGTCTGATTTTCAGTCTGTCCCTAGCCCAGGGGGATTGTGCCAAGTGGCTCCCAGAACCCCCCATTCCCCATCATCCATCACACGGGGACAGCAGCTCGGGCACAGACCAGGGGTCTCTGTTTCGGAAGAGGGGAACCCGAGCCAAGGAGCCAGTAGAGGGCGGGCGAAGGCAGGAAGGGGTCGCTGGGGATCTGGAAAGGTAAGATGCTGGGCCGAGTGCTGTCCCGTCCACAGCGCTGGGTGCACAGGGGGCCTCGGAAGGCTGCCCTGGCAGAGCCCCTTCTGCAGCTTCCGCAGGCAGAACCACCCAACACATACACACACTCAGGAATGTCATCCACCTCCCACCCCTCCCAGGCGGCAGGACGGGATGGCAGGGGCTGAGGGGGAAGGGGCCGGGCTCCAGACACGCAGCTCCCAGCGGGAAGGACGGCAGGGCCAGGCACGGACCAGAGCTCGACCCCCGGCTGCCGCATCGATGCTAATATTGATGCTCCGTGACCTTGGGAGGGCCTGTCCCCTCCAGCGTGCAAATGGAGGCGGGTGAGGGCCCGGCAGTGCCATGAATGCTGATTCAGCATTTTCTGGGGGCGGCAAACGTGCTTTGATCTGCAGAGGCCAGGGCGATGCTCTTCTTCCTTACGGGTCTCCTTTGGGAAGGGCCCCTCTCTGCCCAGGCCCTCCCCGCAGGCCTCCACGCATGCCCTCGGAGGCTGGGGCCGCTCTGCCCCCAGCCCCCGTGAGTAGCCTTTCTCATTCAGGCGGCTGCAGAGGCCCAAGTCCAGAAACCCACCCTCCACCCAGCCTGGCGTGCCTCCTGACAGTTCCCAAAAGAGCGAGCGCCCTGCAGCACCAGCATCCTTGCCCAGGCGGGGCGTCCGGGTGCAGCTGATTCAGCGGCTTCGGGCCCGGCGCCCCTCCCCCAGCCCAGCTGGGCAGCGTGCCCGGGCCTGCCAGCAGCTGTGTCACACGGGCTCTGGCAGGGCTGCTGTGGCTCGAGGTGTGTGGCCCGCACTGCGCCTGGGGGCGGGGTGGCAGGCTGCTGCCTCTGCGGGCGGGCTGCCAGG